CAAAATGGGAGAAAATAGGAGACATCCATAATACTACTGTCAGAAAGAAGGAAGGGAGGGAGGGAGAGAGAGAGGGAGGGAGGAAGTGTGAGGGATAGCTGCTTTGAGGACAGAAAGGCCATATATAGAATTAAATTAAGTGGAGAGATGATACAAATCATGTGAGAACAACAGAGAAAACAGGTATAATAAATAGCAGCTAATGCTTGCCAAATACATACTATGTGCTAGGTACTATTCTACTGACCTAATGTGTTAACTCATTAATCTGAAGAACTCTCTTAGTGAAGTAGGTATATTGTCACTCAACTTTAAAGATGAGGAAACTGAGCAAGAGATGAAATAATTTGCCCAAGAGCACACAGCTAGGGAATGGCAGAACTCTATGCTATTTGCTGCTCTATGACACTGGCAAGTAACCTCTGAGCCTCAGTATCTTTCTGTAAAACACTGGTAAAGACACCTATTTTATAAGTTGTGATAAGGATAAATTCAGTAGCATCTATAAGGTGCCCAACACTGGCTAGCACATCAGCCACAAGGAGGTGCTAACAAAGGTTAATTTCCTATTTTGGCACCTTGTCGCCAAGGTGTCCAAGCAGAAGTTGGCTCACCATTTGTGGAGGAAGCTAGAGGTGGTGCTCCTCCTTGGAGCAGGAGATTGGATCCATCTGGAGCAAGAGACTGGATCCTCAGGATGCTTGCTTACCTTCCATTAGTCTGTCTCTCTGGATTTTACTTTAAGGTCCAGCTCAAATTTTAACTCCTCAAATATTTAACAGTGGCTATCTTGGGGAAAAGTAAGATTGTAGGGGATTTTCTACATTATATGTGTCTTTTACATTTGAATTTATTTTTAATAACTATGTATTATATTGGTAATCAGAAAAATGTGTCTACATTATGCATTTGGCACTGGTAATGCCTTAATTGTACATGCATGGAAGTCCTGTCTTCATATCTAGAGTCTAAATTCCACAAGGGCATAACCAGTTCCATCTTTCTCTCTATAAT